AATCACCCCTTCCCCGCGCTCGCCGAGACATGCTCTCAGACACCCACCGCCCACTGGAAAGCCCTCGGTTGGCAGTCGCTAGTCGATGGCGCGCGGCCCCGGTGAAATCCGCCGGTGTCCCCGGCCGCCTCCCTCACGGGCGTTGAAGAGCCCTGCCTGCTCGGCGGTGGCGAAGCGGCCGAGGGAGTTCTGCCGGCCGCCAAACCTCCCCGTCAGCTCGTACTTCTTGCTGCCTTGCCTGAAGGTCACTCCCCTGTAGCCGCTGTTGCTGTTGCTGCTGGTGACCAGTGTCAGCCCCTCCCTCTCTGCTTGCCGGACCGCCTCAGCGCCGGCAGCAGAGGAAGGCTCAGGTGGCGGCGGCGGTGGCGGCGGCGCAGTGAGATCGCTGGTGTCCCTGCCCGCCTCCCTGCGGGCGTAGAAGAGCGCCGCCTGCTCGGCGGTGGCGAAGTAGCCGAGGTGCACATCTTTGCGCCCAACCTTCACCGTCAGCTTGTACTTCTTGCTGCCTCGCTCCTTCGGCTTGAAGGTCACTCCCCTGTAGCCGCTGTTGCTGCTGCTGCTGGCAACCAGCTTCAGGCCCTCCCTCGCCGCCTGCAGTATCGCCGCGGCGCCAGCGGCAGTGGTAGTAGCGCGGGGCTGTAGCAGCTTTGCGGCGTCGGCGCGGCCGTACTCCGAGCGAGCGTAGGCGGTGGCCGCCTCTTCGGCGGTGGCGAAGGAGCCGAGGTGGACACACTTGCCGCCATCCTGCACCTGCGCCTTGAACTTCTTACTGCCGCGGTCGTAGGCCACGTTCTTGTAGCCAGTCGTGTTCCTCTTGTTAATGGCTGGGATCAACAAGAGGCGCTCGGAAGCCGGCACCGGCGCCATGGCCAACATCATGAGTAATTTCTTTTTTAGTGCGAGTCCGACGACGGCTTCTAAGGAAGCCGTCGTCTGCGCCTTGCTTGTCGTGTGAATCGCGCGTGATGTAAAATTCTTTTGAGAGCGCCTAAAATGTTAATAATACAAACCAGAAAGAAAGATAGAAAACAGACAGCCGAAGAGAGGGATGGGAGGACGGCACGCCGCCACCACACAGGGATTTTAAGGAGAGGGGTGTGATGCGCTAGCCGTCGCCCACCCTAGGGAGTCTGCCTCTTCCTATCTCTTTTCGCAGTCTCTCGCCGCTTCTCGCTGCAACCTTCATGCCACCTCGCGGCCGTCCCACTCTCGTCGTTCTCTCCCTTGTCACTTCCTCCTCTGTCGCGTCATTCTCTTCTGCCTCGTCCTGCGGCGCCGCCGCCTGCCGGTCCCTTGTTCTCGCGGCTTCTTTCGCCTTTCGGCGCAACTCCGTCCTCCTTGCTGCGTATCCTGGCCCCTCGAGTCTATCGAGCTCTCCTCGCGCAAGGACGAGTCTTCTGATGCCCACTGCGATCATTTGCCACCCAGTCATGTCGTTGCTCAGTCCACTCTCTCTTCGAACACTTGTACCTCTACGGATGATGCCGGCGCTGGGGTCCCCTTCGGATGCGTCGTGACATCTGACAACTGGATTTCCACTAGGGAGTCGGGTTTGCCATTGGGGGCCGTGAGGGCGCTGAGAACTCAAGGCTGAGTTTTCGCTCCACTTTCGATGTGGCGGAGTATAGGTTTGTTGTTGGCAACGTAGTACGGTTGACTCCTCGTAATTACATAGACCTTAGGTATGTTAGGATCATTTAGTAATTTACCGCGATGGTTACGAAACGCTGGAGGACCCGACGACCTTGTTCAAGGCATTGCAGACATGATGCGCCTTCTCGCCGTAGTGGCATTGGCGGCCGCCGCTCACTCAGCCCCGGTCGAGAAGACTGCCGCGATCGACGACGTCCAGGCTGGTCTGGCGGATGCCGTCTCTCGACTGCAAGATGGCCTCGGTCCTGTTTGCGGATCCGTTGAGGCTTGTGTGCACGGGCTTGCCAACGGCACTGTGGTACGCGAGCCCGCCACGCAATCACCCCACTGCCTTTGCCGATCCATCAGTCTAAATTCGCACAGGCGGCTGCCGACTTCTTCGAGGAGCACCTGGACGGTCCTGCCAGGTCGGCGCTGCGCGGGCTCGGCACCGTGGTTGCTGCGGCGCTCCACAAGGAAGAGGTCGATCTGGAGCGGATCGTGGATGCCGTCTATCCGGCGCTGCTCTCCGCGGAATTTCAGCTGACCACTCACGCACAGTAACCGCCTGCTGTACTTGTACTTCTCTAGGTGTTCGACTTCCTGGAGCAGCTCGTCCGGTCCGCTGCCCACCCGCCCACCTGGCTGAGCGAAGTGGTCGGAGGGGCAGTCGATTTGCCGGACGCCATCAACGAGGCCGTCGGAGCCTCTTCGAGCGAGGGCGAGTAACTACCCCTTGGAGGGACTCGGGTGACCGTGACCCCTCTCCCCACAGACTGGCGAGACGGTCAAGAGAAGCCCCGGGCGGCGGGCGACGGGAGCGTTGCTGCCGCCACAGTGATATCGCTCATATGCCACACACGTGGGGTGGCTTGGTAGTTCTCAATATTCCCTGGCCGTGTGGTGGCTTCCAGCCCGAGCGCGAGTACTCTTACACTTAACACAACAAAGAGAGTGTCGCGTGTCAGACTCAGTGTCACAGCACGTCCACAAGGCAGAGCGACGAGTCGGAAGCCGCCGAGACGGAGAGGTCCGTTCGGCTGCCGGGTCCGCTGCCGGGGGTTGTGCCGA